TCCTACAGGGCCACTATGAGTCAGAATCGACCAGCAATGGCTTTTTTTTTTTTTTAAATTTACACATAATAGATGCCTGATATATGTTTGTTAACTTAATGATGGAAGCGAAGGCTCACCTAGCATAATTATGAAGACAACACGATCATCTGGGTGCCAGCTAACCATTAGAGGTGAGTTCAGCGGACTCCCCTGACGCCTGCTCCACGTCCCCTCAGCCCACCTGAGTTTACGGCATCTGCAAACAGTTCCCACACACTGAGGCCTGCATCTACCCTTTCCTTTCTTCCTGATTATGAAGAACACTGAAGAGTCAACACCTCTGAAGACAACCTTCAAGCAATAGGCAGGAGTTGGTAGACCAATACCCCAACCTCCTAAGCCTCCGGTGGGGTGACTGTGAAGTGAGTGTCACATGGTAAGCCTGAGGGTCCCCACCAGGATCAAGCCCCTATTGCTCCTTCTGCTCGTTTATGCAGCCAGTGTTTCTGTCCCCCTACCCCTTTTCTCCCTTCCTCATTTATGCTTTCTAGCATCACCCTCAAATGAACGGTTTGCACCCGAGTCCTTGACGAAGGGTTTTCCTTTAGTGGGATCCAAGCGAGCCAGTCGGTCATCTTTGCATTTCCAGATGAAAGTAGAAAAAGTTTCCAATAGGATGATGGAGCTCCTTGGGGTCACGAGTCCACCTATGAGCCCTTAAGATCAATTTTAGCTGGGAATTGGGGTACGTTTGGGAGGGACATTAAACATGAGGGCATTAGAAGAGAAAATCCTAGAGCCTTGGACTGCAATGTGGTAAGATTCTAAGATGGTGTGAATAGCGTTTAAGTAAGAGCTGAGAGTAGAGCATTTAAACATTTAAGAGCTCATCACGTGTCTTATAAAAAAGCAAAGCAAAACAAAAAACAAAAAAACAGAAAACAAACTCATTGCCGTCGAGTCGATTCCAACTCATAGCGACCTTATAGGATAGAGTATAACTGCCCCATAGGGTTTCCAAGGAGCGGCTAGCGGATTCAAACTGGTGACCTTTTGGTTAGCAGCTGAGCTCTTAACCACTGCACCACCAGGCTCTGCATGTATTACAGCGCCATGAACAGGGCTTTAGTTTGGAACCGCCACCTTGAATCATTTATATTCAGCATCCAGCAGTGCCTGGCAAACGAAAAAAACATGCTTTTAATGGTGGGACTGAGCACTCTTCGGGGCTTGATGAAAGGTGGTGACTCGATATTGATGTTCTTGTTTTTATAATTTATTCTGTTGTTGTTGAGAGTATACACAGCAGAACATAACACTAATTCCACAATTTCTACAATCCAAAGACATTGATTACCTTCTTCGAGTTGTGCAACCATTCTCACCCTCTTCTTCCGAGTTGTTCCTCCCTCATTAACATAAACTCACTGTCCTCTAAGTTTCCTAGATATTGAAGTTTATAACCATTAAAACACGCACACACCCACCCACACACACACCCTAAGCTTCCAGGGAAACCCTTTCTTTCTCCCTTACCTCCTGAGAGATACGGGTGGCAACAGTTCAACGGTGCCCTCACTGACCTAGGAGGTTAGGGCTAGAATGATTCTCTGTGACCATCTAGTTAAATCCAATCAACCACAGAGCTGGGGCTGGAGCCCAGTGTCCTGCCTCCCAGTGTCTGGCCCTCTTTCCACAGTAGCCACTGGGAACATTCCAAGAAGAAAGTAATTTTGGAGGCTAACAGCCATGAGAATTTTCAGATTCAATTTCAACAAAGTGTTGCCATTTAAGAAAGGCTGCCAAAAAGATAATGGGGATGAAGAAAGGCTCTGTAAAGTGCTATCCAAAGGTTAGCTATCTGTGGTTCACTGCCAGGGTCAACAAACTCAGGCCTGGATGGAGAGCCAGCTCCCGAACTGAAGGAGCTAAGGAAAGGCTGGTCATTCAAGGGGCCCCTCGTGAATGGGACACCAGTGTATTTGCTGGGAGCAAAAGGACACAGTATCTTGCCTATGTGCCGTCCCCACACCCCTATTTCAAGTACAATACACTTAAGCTGACTAGAACTAATACTTACATTACATATTTGTGTTAGAACCTATTGTTTTCTGCGCTTCTGTCCTTTCACTGTGTTTCAGAGGCCACGCTGAGCTCCAGCCGCCTGCACCACGGCGCAGTGGGGTATCTCTCCAAGCTTTCCGACCGGCAGGGCCCATTAGCGGTTTACTTCCACATTAGTTTACATTGGTCCCAGCTGCATTAGAATTTAGATTCTGCACATACTCTGACTCTCAAAACCACATTCTTTTGCCTTCACACTACCTCTTTGTCATCTAACAACTGAATAAGCATTGTTTCCCTGGTTTGGCTCATGAAAGGGGATCCTGATGAAGGGTAAACTTCACATCTTCTGGGCTTCCTTATCCAGGCGCCCAACACTAGAAGGGTGGCAGTGTGTTCGGTGACCTATCCACATCAGGTTAACCATCTGGGTCTGGGCCCGGGCTGGATAATGAGCCCGCGAATAATGGGGAGCTGATTGCAATGCCTTATCACGGTGAAGCTGAGAGGCAGAGGCGCTTTGTCCCCCACCCCCTGGCTCCTCTCCCCAAGGGCCTTTTCTTACACCGTCCAAGCTCCTGGGCTTCTGTGCCGGCCATTCATTCTTCACAAGCCCCGATTCAGGCGGCTGTGCTCGGATTCAGTCTCGGATGTTTCTGCACTTATGGGCTTGTAAAACAGTGGAAGAAAGATAGCAGATAAACGTACAGAAAGCCCCTCTGTTCTCGGCTAGAAAGAAGGCTCTGCTTACTTCCCTACTGTAACAGAAGTCTTGAAAAGCCCAAATTAAAGGTGCAGAGAAGGGGTGAAATAAGAACACTAAAAGGCATGAATACGCAACACAGCGCTGCCAACTTGACTTTCTTCCACCCATTTCCCGAGTGATACAGACCCACGAGAAATAGACAGACTTGGAGGAAAGATTTTTATTGCTGTATGGCTGGAAAAAACAACAGGCAAAACCTCCCTAAGGTGGTTTTTTTTTTTTGAGGGATTAGCCCCTGGTAAGATTTTTACTTGTTAAGATCAGAACTTGTTGGGGGAAAACAATTAGGAAATGAAAGGTCTTATTACGTTCTAACCGGTTCGGCTGGGATAATTCTGGGACGCAAAGCCCTAGACTAGTTAGTCATCTTTTCTTACAGCTCAGAGCCTGGACGGGAGCCATGCTTCTTTAAAAACTGGTCACCAAAGTCGATGAGCAGATGGGCTCAAGGGGCTGGCTTAGTCATGGGTGAGGAAGGAGCCCTCTCTTTACCTCCTGCCTCTTGGGATTAAATTTTAAGTCAGAGTTCAAGAGGTGAGACCGTACAAGGAGCTGTGCACTTCAATTTCCAGGTACTAATTCCCTCAACTACCCTTCACCCCTAAATAGTTAAGAGAGACAGGCAGCCAGCCAGAAACAAGAAGCCAGGTGGGAAGCCAGGTGCTTTTTGCTGGCTTTAAACGAAAGCCCTGAGGGAAAGAAAGAGGCAGGCTGCAGGCGCTTGGTAGACGGAGAGCAAACTTCTTTATTGTACACAGTACAGAATATAACGCAGCTTGGCAGGATGCACACGGTCCTGCGCAGGGAAAGGATTTCAAATCAACTGGCAAGGTAAAGCCTCTCTGCACTGTAGACTTCCCACACTCTGGAAAAGAAGCCAAAAAACAAAACCCCAAAACCCAAATAAAACCACCCAGAGGTGCATGAGTCCGATGGGGATGCGACGGTGGTGCTGCCATCCTCTGTCCCTCCTGTGGCAGCTCAGGCCACGTGGTCACAGCAGGGGAGGCAGAGCTCAGGCAACACAGGATTATTTGCATACTTTAGAAGACAGCATAAATCCACCCAAAAAAAAGAAGAAGAAAAAAAAAACCCAAACCAGGATAAGTAAAGAAAGGAAAAACAAATCCTATACAGCATTTACAACAAATAAATCTCCAGTCAGCTGGGGGTAAAATATGCTTCTATGTATAGACTATGTAGGTTAGAAAGCTATAAATATGGTCTGGAAAGAGTCCTTTGATTAGAGCACAATGCTAATTAAGGCCCAAGCTATAGGTTCAATACCTTTGGGGGCCAATTAGCTTCCAATAAAGGGAAACCTTACGTTTCCGTAGCTATCAAACGCGCCCCTTCGCCCTTGCACCACTGCACAAATGCGCTGTGGGTCAGAGGAGACTTGTGGAGACCACGGAGAGCTCCATTTATAGAAAACCAACCCCAAGGCTGTGTCCTCCGCTCACCAAGTCAGCACGGTCACCTTCACGTGTGAAGAACAGCACAGTCATTGTTAACATGCTCAGTGGCACGGGGGGCACGGAATTACACCGGCGGAGCCGGGGCAAGGTGTTACCACCTCCTAGTAACTTCTCCTCTGCTCGGAGCTCAGCTTTCACATAGCATTAGCTTGGTTGCTGAAAACGTTTTCAGTATAATACAGCAATCAGAATAAACTTTTTAAAAGGAAAAGGGTGGCAGGAAGCTAAAAGGCTAGCACTGTGGTGCCTGTCCGTGCCACACGCAAGTCTCAAACCCTATTGAATCATATGCAGGGTTTAAAGTCCAAGACGGAAAGGAAAAGGCAAACAAAGCAAACTGATGAAATGGCAATTGTCATCAGTCATGCCCAGACAAGTGTCCCTAGGGTTCCCACCAGGTGGCTAGGTTTCGAATGGACATGACATGTATTATGTACACATGCTTTCCAGAGAGGGCATGAACACGGGGAACTGTACACATAGAATCAAAGCTGGGTGTCCAGGCTGCCCTGCACACTTCAAAAATGTACAACTCAGGTGTAAATGTTCCGTCAGACTGGTGCAGAAAGCACAAAGCGGCAACAAGCGGGCTTCTACATGGCTCCGGGGACGGCCTGGGCAAAGCCCCTTTCAAGCTGCAGTGTCTTCGTAAGTCAGCACGGTCCCGTCTAAGGGACGCAGTGCATAGTTACCAAAAGGTTTGTTGTTTATTTTTTTTGCTTTAAATACCAAAACTACAAAAATCAGTTTATAAACTGTTTGTTTTTTTCCCCAAAACAACCACCAAAAGAAAACATCCCCCAAATCAAAGCAAAACAAAATACTGTCCGAAGTGTTAACCGCCCTTCTCCTAAGATTAAAGCCATCCATACACAGCCACGTGACTGGGAAGAGAAAGGGGGCTGGCTCGACTCGGTGACCACGTGGCCAGAAGGTTCCCGAGAACAGTGATGGTTTATTATTTGAGAATCACGGGGTGGGTAACAGCTGTTCTGACTTTCCTATCTTCCTTCTAGACCAAGGAGACACGTTTCAGGTTGAGCTCCGAATTCCAAGATGTATTTTTAACCCTTCACGGCTTGAGCCTCCCCAGCTTAGCCTAGCTACTCTTCTGTGGGTTTGTGATGTTTCCATGCATGGTGCAAATCAGAGCCCCTCCGTGTAAAGGCATTTAGTAGTCCGTGATCAGCGAAGATGGTCACACTCCCTCCCGGTTTGTGGGTACTAACCTGAAGAAGGTATTGCTTTGCATATATTGTCCATGGTAAGGAGGCTCTATTTCAATCTCTACCCAGAAACCTCGTCGGCATCAGAGCGGAGGCAGCCGCCTCTTCCCCTTGGTGGTTTTCTGCCCTCCCTGTTCCCACTCCCTAGCCAAGGTGTCTGTCTTTAAGGGTGCCCGTCCAGAAATGGCTCAGGCTCTCCAGATAATCCTCAAAGGGCAAGCTTTGGGAACTGCCAAAAACACAAACAAAATCACTGCCCTCGTTTGCCTGAACGGGAACTGCTAGCTCTAGGGTTTGGCTGCTCAGCCACTCAGAAGCTTAGTAAGCAAAGCCTTCAGCGTAGGGGAGGCTGCCGCAGCGATCCATGTCCAGGAGGTAAGCGGGGTTGTCTTCAAAGTGGGTCAGTGGCAGGGTATCCTCCTCGTTGAGGTGGCACTCGGACTCTGCCTTCAGAAACGGACGCTGATTGTCAGGGAAGGCCATGGAGAAAAGGGCATCCGGGTCACAGACAAATTTGTAGACATACCGTTCGCCTGCCACCTGAGAGATAAAACGCACCTTTAAGACCCAGCTGGGACAGGGCACGGCCATCAGGGGAAGAATAACGAGATATTTGCAAGTCACCAAGCTCTCAGGGACCCAGGGACCAAAGGAAGCTCATTAGCTAGCTGATTAGCCAAGTCATTCGGATTTATTTGGCTAAATCTTGGGGACCTATTACCTGCCAAGTGTTTTGCTGACACCACAGCTCAGCAGTTGAAAGAGAAGATGTTTGAAATTCCAATTCACACTAGACAGGCTTTTTAAAAAGAAAACCCTCCCTTTCGGTCTCCGAACGGTCACGCTGAGGCTGACGGCTTGGTGTTACGGGGAGTGGGAGTCTCGTCTTCACAGTATGGCTGTTACTTAGACGTGTTAGGAGTTTGATTAGCGAGCCGATGTGGAAATTTCAAGTACGTTTCAAAGCCAAACAGAGTTGCTTTTTGGCTGACCTGCAGTTTTAAATTACTCAATCCATGCTTCCTTCACACTGAAGGAAGATAACTGATAACTGCCTTTATATGAATTTTATGCACCTTAATATTATCAGAACCAAAAAGGTCTTGATTATTCAAGGGCCTGATGGTGTAGCTGATGAGCCACCCAGGCCAACGGGATCACTCACTCTTTGCTGGCCGTTTAGTGACAGTACACAAGGGCATGTACCTCTCAAAATCAAACGCAATGACTGGCTTTGGTGAGGTAATGCAAGGGAACGTGGCCGTAATTACCAACAAAATACACATTTTAGATTCAAAAATTTGAATTGTTGAATTTAATCCTGCCCTTCAGTCCTGGGAAACCAAAGCCCAATGATACGTAATTATTCTGTTGTGATTAAATTTTTCTTAATTGAAGAAATAAGGCTTTCTTTCCAAATCTGGACTTTAAGAGGTGTGCGCTAACAGTGATGGTTATACGGGAACAGTTCCATCATCCCAGTGGGTCTACACATTTCTCTTATGGTGACACTTCTATGTCCAGCCACCAGAACATGGCTGTTCCTTGGAACTCCAACACCGAGGAACTGGGGACTGCATGTATAAAACCACATGATTGGTACCCCATCAAAGGAAGTCTTAAGAGAGGGTGGCAGAGGTATACCATCAACCATCCTTATTTGATTTTTTTGAAACCATAGTTTTATCTTAAATCCCCGGCTCCCGACCACCGAAAGTCAGTCTGTGTGTGTGGAAAAGCAGGGCAGGAGGGCACAGTGGGAATACTACTAAACCAGAAGCCTGGGGACTTGTGACTCTGGAAGGAATGAAAAGGTGACATGTCCATGGAGGGGCTGGCCAGCGAAAGAGGGCACTGGAATGTTCTAGTTCTTAAATAAACCAAAACCAAAACCAAACCGGTCACCGTCGAGTTGATTCCATCTCATAGTGACCCTGTAGGACCGAGTAGAACTGCCTCATAGGGTTCCCAAGGAGCAGCTGGTGGATTTGAACTGTTGAGCTTTTGGTGAGCAATCAAGCTCTTAACCACGGCACCACCAGGGTTCCAGCTCTTAAATACGATGGTAATTGAATAGGTGGGTGTTTTTCCCCTCTTTCCATTTTCTAGCATGCTTGATAACATACATGTATATAACATTTATTCTTTGGTAAAACAAATACACATTAAGACTGGGGAGAATGCCATGCTAAAAAGTCTAGAAGGCTTTCCTCCATGGAAAGCTCTTTAAGATTTTAAGGTAGCCAGGGGACTATGGGGTCACAGTATCATGTGCCTATGACAAAGATGGACCCAGCTCCAGTGAGGACAAACTCTCAGGAACACTGTCCACAAGGCTTCAGCCAAATATACCTTGTTGGTTACTACCACGTAGACTGCTGAAATATATAAAACGCTAGATTCTGGAGAAAAGCACAGTATAAAATTTGGTGGCTAAGGAAGACCAACCAAAGATTTGCAATTCCCATCTTCTGTCTGTACATGGGATTTTAAGACGGTGATCTCTCACCACCTAACTCAATAACGATTTTGTGTCTGGCTTCCTCAAAATATACTTCATCCTCTACTCAGCAAAGAGCATTCTGCTATCCATTGACTCTGCTGCCAATTTATTAAACCAAAACCTGTTGCCATCGAGTTGATTGTGGCTCATAGTGACCCTACAGGACAGAGAAGAACTGCCCCATAGGGTTTCTAAGGACTGGCTGGTGGATTTGAACTGCTAACCTTTTGGTTAGCAGCTATGGCTCTTAACCACTGAGCCACCAGGCCTCCACCAATTTATAAACTTTGGGTTTTTAACTCAAGTTCCAGTTCCTATAGGTTTTGAAAGAGAAATCAGGTTTTCCTATTCCTCTAACACTTTTGAGCGTATCAAACCAACAGATTTGAAGGTCTAGGTGTTTTAACAACTAAAGACTTCAACCAAGCTCTGTGGGAGTGGAGACTTTCGAGCTGATTCATTCATGTGCTCCTTTCTGGACACAATGGTTGGCCTCCTCTTCTGGACATCTTTGTAATTAGAGACAGTGGAACTAAAGCAGAGGAGCCTAACGCTCCTACTGTGTGTTCCACACCAGCATCCAAGAGCTTTAAAGACCCCCCAACGCCTTGTTGGACCTTAAGTTTATTTTCCCTGGATTGTTTTTCCCTATCACAGAATGACTTTCGAGGCTAACATTCTCCCCCACCATTTTAAACGGTCTTATTACAGATTCTCTAGACATTTTCTTTGAAAGTGGCCAGGGTGGCCTAAGTGTGTCTTCCAAATGCCCCACCTTCTGCATGATGCCCTTCTCATAATAGTAACGTAGAGAACGGCTGAGCTTGTCGTAGTTCATGGCTGGCCGGTTCTTCTGGATGCCCCAACGCCGAGCAACCTGAAGAGACGGGAAAGCAGAGAGCGATGGAAACACATTTCCTGCCTCGTGGTTTGCTCTGAGTCCCATTGACTGGGCTTTGGTCAATGTCCCGTTTCCCTGACCTGGAAGGCAAAGGGCTTAATTCTCTCAAGACCAAGCATTCAGCAAAGGTGATGATGCAGTTACAACCGCTAGGGGGTGAGACCTAGAGGCAGAAGAATCCCAGCACTTTAAGATTGCGGAGGGCTTGGCTAACGTCCCAGAGGAAGCAGGCTCTCTCCTGTTTCTTCACATATGAATTATTGACCAATACCCATAGCCCATTAGCATGTTGCCATTAAGTGCTATGGTTTCTGTAGCAGTCAATAAGGAATAATTAGAATGGTCATTCCTGGAACATTAGAAACTCGCTAGTGAGTTGCTAATGGGTGAGCAGAGCAAAAGTTCAATTCTAATAAGATTGGAGAGGGGCTGGGAGATGTTTACTTATTGCAGCTTTTGGAGTAAGGGGGGATCAGATCACTTCAGCCTGCTGCCATCCAATCCCCTGCTCCCAGCAGACTTGCAGAATGGACACTAAAGCACGTAGCACCATTATCCACTTAATGAAAAATTAACAGGGCTTCCCAAACAGTTCTGAAGTGCCTAATATCCAGCCCAGCCCACCTGAGGTGCAGTGATGGGGAGATGTAATTGGAGCTTTGGGCCGAGAAATCTTGTCGCAGGAAAACTTCCTAGTAGGGTTAGCCGATTATCAGAGCAGCCAAGCAATTTCTGTCCTCAAGTATCTCAACATCAAAAATCCTACATATAAGGACGACCGTCAAGGAAGGAGAAGAACAACTTTGGAAATGCGAGTCTCCTCCGAGGTCTTCAGATGTATGCAAGTCAGGAGCCATGTTTTGAACATTTTAGGGATGTTTTGGAAACTTCTTTTTTTAAAAACACAATAACTACTTTCTTTTGATCTTTTAAAAACCAAATGTTAAACATGCAGCAGGAAGTGGGGAGACTGCCAGAGGACAAGTGGATCCTAAAGCAGCACTTCACTTAAAGTATTTGGGCGGAAAAAAAGGAACATCTCCTGAATTCAGGACTCTAAAATCACCTTAATAAATACCAGAAATAGTCAGTGAGGAAGAATAGATCTGTCCTGATCACGTTACAATAATCCAATAGCCAGGATTCATCTCTGCCTTGCAAAAACACCCCTCAATTTCCATCCGTTAGCTTCATGCCTCCGTGGGACCCACGATCCCCCAGGCCTCCCCTTTCGCCATAAGGCACCCATTCCACTCTACCTTCAAACTAGCCAGAAGGGCAAAATGTACAAAACAAAACAAATCCTGCTACCAACGGAAAACAGTAGTAAGAAGGGAAATCTGTTAAAGCAGTCGATACCTGCCCTTCCTCATGGCTGAAAAGCAAGTCCACTCCATGAGACTGTACTTTAATGGCTATCAGCCACAAGTGACGCAGGGAACTTGAAAGGAAACCCCGCCTCCCTCGTTTTACTCTGCGCCATGGTGGAGAACAACTCTGGAATATTCTCAACTTCAGTCGTGACCCTTTTTTGCGCTCACTTGCATATGCGGCAGCTAGCTGGACAGTGGTTTTGCATATGCACAGATTTTCAAGTTGCTCTGGTAGCCATAGTGACTGACTCATCCTCTGGCGCCAAAGTCCTCTGAGTCCGTAGCCCTCTCCAGGGCTGCGCCTTCTACAGTATGGCGTGATGCGGCACAGCTCCGCAGCAGCTGGAAATGAGGGCTGTCCCCTTTTTTGGGGGGTGGGAGGCAGGCAAGAGCTTGTTACTGCTCTTTCTTTTCATCTTTCTCATTAGTTACTGTAATAGCACACATCCAAGGACTGAGGCTGAAGGGGTTAAACCACACACATCTCTCTTCCTCCCCTTTACAGGGAGCGCAGAGAGCAGCTCTCGCGAGCAGCCCATCCTTTTAAACCTCCCCATGGCATCAGTTATCTGCCACATGTTCAACAAACAACCCTACCCCCAAAATATTCATTAATGCAGATTCACAGTTAAAATGGCTCCAGATTAAAGCCGAGTCAGTCATAATTGAGAGGGTGCTAAGCTGGATGACTATCAAAAGACATTTGATTAGGGGGCCTGCCAAAACGCAGTTCTAAAACCACAATTTCCATGCACAGTGTAATGGATATTATGGATAATTACCCAGAGTGCACTATTCAGCCACACAGCTGCCTACAATTACGTCCCAAACAGCTTCCTCCTCCGCTTCACCCTTCAAGCGCCCCACATGACGACTCTAAGCTTAGAGTGTTTTCGAGGGGCTGGTATCTTCCTGAGATTAACAGGGGTAGGTAGGGACCCCAGAGTTGTACAAGGAGCAGTAGGGGAAAGACTCCACAACCATGTATTCGAGGTCAAAGCGCGCATGTGGAACGGAACGGTCCTGGCTTAAGGGAAGGGAATGGTCAGAGCAGATGGAATGCTTGGGACGCAAGTTGGGGTGGAAAGAAGCACTTCCTGAAGAAACAAAGCTGCCCAATCAGCACAGGGAGGCTCAAGGTCACTGCAGGCCTCTCACCGGACTCGGCTGCTAGGCATTTATGAGCATTCTGAATTAATGTGAGTTTCTTTATTAAGTAAGAAAGCCGGGGCCCTTTGCCATCTGTTCATCATTTTCTTTACCACTGGTAGGAAAGCAGAAGATTCAATAACAGCTTTACAAAGGGTCATAACCAGGTTTACCTGCAGCTGTACAGCCTGTGCTTAGGCCCGAGGCGGCGGCAATAAAGTAATAAAAGCTCTTGTTTGTGAAACGAGATATCAGTAAGGGCTACCCACACGACAGACCTACTTTCAGAAAGCCTCGGACATGCTTTCCCCAAGCCTCATCTAAACCAGACCACGTTATTAGGAAAGGAAGTGAGAGGAAAGGGCCGACGTGGGCTAGAGGGCTCTACTGCTACATGACTGGGTGCGAAAGAAATGCTTAGAAAAACAATGATACCAAACTCTGGCTTCGAAGGCAGACGGAGCCTTAACAGACACTGTTTACATATGAGATGCTGACATATTTCCACGTTCATGAATGATTCAAGACAGGGACTACCATACACATATCCTCTTTCACAACTGCCTTTAATAAGCCGTCCTTATTCTCCTGCCCATCAGGATTCCTCTTAAGTTTCCAATCCATACATTGTCCTCCTTTTCCCATCTTAACTCTTAGCCTGTTTCCTTCTTCCAAACCAAGAGCCAGGTTGTTACCTCTTGCTGCCAACCCCCATGCCCACTTATCCCCTCGGTGTGCTAGAGCAAGCCTGGACTTAATTGAACATCTAAGACTGCTGTTCTTCCTCAAACGCCTTCCGAGTGCGTTGTTCTCATTTCAGTCACACCCAACTCAACGATACCTTTTGCTCTGCTGGTTTAATATACGATGTCTAAGTACATGTTACCAAAAGAAGCATATGTCAGTTTCTCAGGGCAGTTATTTCTTCATAATCTATCTAAACTATAAATCAAATAAAAACTAAAAAATCAGCCCATTTAGATGTGCTAAACCAAGAACCTAATTTAATTTACTTTGTTCTGTGATGTTCAGGAAAGGGATTCTATGGTATATCTTCTCCACTGAAGAAGTGATATTGGTTCTCCATAGGCTTTCCTGCCAATAGTTTTGGGCAAACCGACAGTAACAATCCTTTTTTGTTTTTCCTATTAACAAAATAATGGAGGTTTGTGTCATCTCTGAGCTATTGTGATGCCACGTAGCACACTTTAAATGATGTAAGCTCATGAGATTGACCAACCTCTCAGAATCTCATTTCTCCGGGTTAGAGCCATTTGAGACAATCGGTGTGGTAGCTGCAGCCTGTAATATCTTACCAAAATATCACCTAACATGTTCACGTAGCTTCAGATATAGGCTACGACCTATGAGGGCTGAGGCCAAAGCTAGTCTGTATCACCAAAATACCGTTTGAAAAAGGCGTTCCAAGAGAGAAAGCCACCCTGTTTGGATGTAAGCTGTATTCATAGCCTCTCTCCCTGGATTCTGCAGAAGTGTTACAAATACTTCTTACGTATTCTACAGGGGAGAAGGCCTGCTTGTCCATATAGTGTAAACTGTCCTATTGACAGGAAGGGTACTGCCAAGTCACTGACTAGGCCAGAATGCAAATGAGAGCATAGTTAACACAGTAAAAAGTCTCAAGGGATATCTGAACAACCACCACCATCATCTTTATCATCTCAAAAATCTCCTGAGTCCAACACCCAGGGCTTTACCTCCTCAGGTTCTATCAGCTTGAACTCCATGCCTCGGCCTGTCCAGGCAATGAAGTGGGCATTGGCTGGGTCATCGAGAAGGGTGACCAGGAACTGCCACAGCTGTAGGGAACCTCGCCTCTGGTAAGGGGGCCCCTCTCGATACATCGTGGGCTCCTGTTTGACTTTGCCTGTTGGGGGCAAAGACACACATGCAATACTTCAGTCCCAAGTTTCTCAGGTAATTGGGGCAAAAAGGAGTTGTGAATGCCGATTCAATCATTTAACTTGGCAAGACTGATGGAGGTGCTCTGACATCTTTAACTCTCCAGCTTAGCAACAAAACGGGGCTACTTACCTTCCAGTCTCTCAGGCACCACACAAGTGTCGTCGAAGTACAACCGGGGATCTTTTTCATATGAAAAACCTGAAGGAGAATTAAAAAAGAAAGACCATGTTGCTTAACAAATTCTATCTGTGCTGTATTAAAACTATGGATTTAAGGATGACAGTGGTATTCTACCATTGCAGGCCCTAAGCCCTACTGCTGTATCTATGCCAGAATGAATTTTCAAGGACTTCAAAATGACTTAGGTGCTCACGGTGTGACAGTCACCTGAGCCTCGGTCCACAGCAGCATCAATTCCTGTGGTTAGAGCTAAGACAGCTAAGTACCTTCACATCTTGCTTATGAGATCTACATGGATCAGCGTTGCTGTGACTAAGCCTTTATATCTGAAAAGACATCTCATCTATTTCAGTTGTCCTAGTGGATGGATTTGGCTGATCTGTACATAGTCCCACCATTTTCCTTTTAGCTAATATTAATTTCAACCTTTCCTATAACTTGTCCAGACTACTCACATACCTCATCCAATTATGAAAGAACTTGAACTATAGAGAATGTTGCCAGAATGAATAAAGACTTGGGGCCGGTGAAGCATTGCTAAGAGCAGGAGGTTTAAGAGCAAGTTGGAGGTGGTATTACCACAGACACAGTGGGGGAAACTCGAGAGACTCTAGCAATAAAATGTCTTCATTTTATAGATAACAAAACAGAGGTCAAGAAAGGGGAACTGACTGGTCCAACGACACACGTAAGTGGAAATGAAAGGAAGGTAGAGCAAAGAGCTACAGGGTTTAGGAAAAGGAAGGACAACTCAACACTCTCAATCTATAAACCCTCAACACACATTCAGCGCTGACTGCCATGTCACCAGGCACACGGACAAGATCAGTGGTTCAAATCAAAGCCAGTTACCAGACAGCCTTAACGGGAACACATCCTTTCCCGTGGTCTAGCCCATTTCAGAGGTGTGGGGACTCCAGTGCACTCCTCTATCAATGTACTTCTCGGAAGAAAGGCCCATGAGCTCCTGCCTGATAAACAAAGCTTCCCTGTGCTTGGGTCTCTGGGCAATACACCTGGCTGTGCAGTACAGGTGTGTGCATGTCAGTTATGCAGCAGGGACAGTGGGGACAGGCAGGGAATGATGCTCTGCAATGAAGAGCTTTTCTCGGCCTTTGAGAGGGATTCGCTGTGACTTGAATAATCCCATGGGTAAAGGCGCCAAGAAATAATCAGTTGTTCTTTCTTTCTTCACAATCAGCCCAGACCAAGTAGCTTCTTGGCACGCCCAGCACCAAGGCCTGGGACTGGCAGAAGCACTGCCCAGCTTGGAGGACATGGATATCGTTTTGAGGTTTGTTTTACCCTTTTGGTTTCCTCAGCCCCAGGCACTATTTCTCTCTTTGTTGCTTAACTATATCGAGAGTAGTATATTTTATTGGCATTTATTTATTATTTAATCCAGTAAATATTTATGCTAGGCACTGTGCTAGAAGGAGATAGCAAGGGGAATACAGAGCCAGACCTTGTTCTCACGGAGCTTACATCCCTGCTAGAGGAGACAGACAGCAGACTAGGAAGAGAAAGAAATGAAATGTGGTGCAGCATGGAAGTGTGAGTGCAGGCCTCCAGGAGCTGGGTGACGGTGAACACGTTAATTAATCTCATCTGAAAACTGTGGAGGAGCCCTGGTGGTGCAGTGGTTAAGAGCTCGGCTGCTAACCAAAAGGTCGGCAGTTCAAATCCGTCAGCTGCTCCTTGGAAACCCTATGGGGCAGTTCTGCTCTGTCCTCTAGGGCCGCTATGAGTCGGAATTGACTCGACGGCAACAAGTTTGGTTTTTTGGTGGCAAACTGGGGATGGTAATAATTCCTAACTTATAGGGCTGTTGTGAAAATTAAATGAGTTAATACACAGAGCGCTAAGGGTAGCTCCTGGTACAAAAGTGCGTAATAAATGGTAGTTAAAAAGTAAACACAGTAACTGCACACTATGTCAGGTACTATAAAAAAGGTTTCACGTGAAGAATGTGAGAACTTTATTATCCTCTATCACAGACTCTAGAATGCTCCTCAGAAGCAAGGATGGCAAGACTTCGTTTCACATACTTTGGACATGTTATTAGGAGGGACCAGTCCCTGGAGAACGACATCATGCTTGGTAAAGTAGAGGGTCAGCGAAAAAGAGGAAGACCCTCAACGAGATGGACTGACACAGCGGCTGCAACAACGGGCTCAAGAATAACAACGGTTGCGAGGATGGTGCAGGACCGGGCAGTGTTTCCTTCTGTTGTACATAAGGTTGCTCTGAGTTGGAACCGACTCAATGGCACCTAACAACAACATCATAGATTCTAGATTCTTTGAGGATAAGGGCCATGTCGTGAATATTTTAGTATCCTCAAAATACCTGACACGTAATAAGCGCTCAATAAATATTGGAATAAATATGAGAAATTCTATAATCTCCACTTTAAAAATATTTAATACAATGTTATCTTTCAATCAGGGATTTAGTGACTCCTACGATATATTTACTTTCCAATTTGGTACTAGGAAACAGTCTGCCTTTTATGACAAGTTGGTATACTTTATGTTATCAATAAGAACGACATAATTCATCACGCTCCACGCTTTTGCCTTTGGCTAACAGGAAGCTATATATTTCCCAACCCTCCATATGGGTTTTGATATTCCAGTGATATTTTAATGGCCTTATTATAAAGTCTTTATAAATGAACTACTTCAAAGTTTACACCTGTCGAATGTGCCAGGGTATTTTTTTAGAGCTTTTCTTCCTCTAAGGTAAGGATACCACGTTCACAGTACATAAGAAAAAAAAAAAAAGTAAATCTAGATTAAATTCTAGGCTTGGTTTTTCAAACCCAGTCAGATGAAGGACTGCCTATGGAGTATCGTTTGGGTGCATTTTGTGGCTTTTAGCCATTGCCCCGTGTGGCTCTCTGAAACATCTGGAAGATGCTGTTGGTTGAAGTGAAATTTAAGTCGTTGAATTTGCAGCAGCACTTGCATCAGTGTGACCACAACCATCTAATCACTCACAGAAAGGTGGCAGGAAGGAAGAACCTGTTTGAGGGGCAAAGTGGAAATGAAAGATTCAAAACCACATGTAAGGATTCCAGGTGAACGTTCCAGGCAGGATGGCTAGCTTAGCAATCACAGATGCCAACCAGAAACGCTTGTTTTCGTGAACTGTTTGACAGGCATCTGTAGTCAAGCCTGTGTAAGAAGGATAGAACACCATGTCAGGGTAATTTAGAGCAATTAAGACTGCTGGTCTCTTTGAAACCGACTTCTTCCATGTGTGTGGGGCCCGGGGAAGGAATGGGAAAGAGTTGGCAAAGAACACACAAGCTCGCCAGATATTCTGTGTATAGTAAGCAACCCAGTGCCTTACTAAAAATATTTCCTTTAAGAGCATGCTCTTTGCTAAATGTTGTAATTATGCAAAATGCTTCCCTCCCTCTTTCTCCCCCGCTCTCCCCCCTAATTTGCCTGCTGCAGACATCAACTGCTGCATAGAAACATTCAGGAACCTGGAAGAGAGCCCCACACAGCTGTGCCTGTCACAGTCAGTGGCCCAGTAGATGGCCCTTCCTTTCCAGGGCTGGACATCCAAAAATGTCACCAAGCGTCCAGTGCAACCACACCTGATCTCCCGTCTAACCAAGTCAGTGGGAAGCAGCCCCCCACAGAAGCCACTGCTGGGAACTCACCACCTAGCAAAAGCAACCACGCTTCATGGTGCCGCCTGATCAGCTCTTTCCCCTTCCTCTCCAACTCCAGAGAGCAGAGTTCCCAGCCTTGGGTGCACACTGGAATCACCCAGAAAGCTGTGAAAACTCCTGGAGCCTGGGTCCCACCTCAGAATTTCTGATTCAGTTGCTCTGGAGTGAAGCCTGGACACCGGGATGTCTAAAAGCTCCCCAGGTGATGGTGACGCGCAGCCAGAGTTGAGACTCACTACTCTGAGCAGCAGTTCTCCAACTTGAGCTGCATGAGAATCTCCTGGAGGGCTCGTAACACACAGATTGCTGGGCTCTGCTTCCAGGGTGAGGAGCCCTAGTGACACAGTGGTTAAAGCAGTCGGCTGCCAACCAAAAGGTCTGCAGTTCGAACCTACCAGCCTCCCTGTGGGAGACAGTTGTAGCGGTCTGCTTCTGTAAAGATTAGAGCCTTGGCAACCCAGTGGAGCAGTTCTACTCTGCCTTATAAGGTTGCTATGAGTCGGAATTGACTCAACAGCAACGAGTTTTGGTTTTCCGACTCCCAGAGTTTTTGGTTCAGTAGGGTTGAGGTCGGTCCTGAACATTTGCATTTGCAACAAGTCTCAGGTGAAGCTGATGCCACCTGTTTGCGGAATCACTGCTCTGGACATTCACGGAGAGATGTATATGACAGAAGACGTAACTTCTGGGGAATGTGTCCTAAAAAATGTCTTCCCTATTTCAATGCTCAGAAGGGCAACCCCAATCCTACCATCTAAAGTCGTGTCTTTGCCCATAAGGGTAGCTCCAAAGTTCTGCACCTACTTCTCGAGGCCTTTCATGCCCCTCAACTTCATCTCAGTCCCCAACAGCGTTCCTCTCTCCACCAGCTGAGCCAACAGTCCCTTCGTGCAGGAGCTGCTCAGCAAAGCTCCTTCCAGCTCTAGCCACGGATTACCTGCCCTCACAAAAGGCCTCCTCCTTCCTCCTTTTTTTTCTTTGAAGAAACCCTAAATTTTAAAAATCTGTGACAAGCACGAAAAACAAACCACCAACACACACAAGCTGGCCCTCCCAAAGCTGGCAGCGGACACCTTCAAAATGTCACCTCACCTTGCGCCCAGAAATCTTACCTTCAGGAGTTCATCCTCAAGAATTAATCAAAGGAGAGTGTGTGAAATTTAGCTCGATGGATGTCCACCTCAGTTTGGTTTATTTTGGGAATAACGTTACCTATATTTTCAGCAACAGGCGATCAGCTAAGTGCTTACCCATGCAACGGCTACTGGACAGCCACTGAACAGGTAATTGGAGAGGACTGCTGGATGCTATGAGGTCACTGGCTGTAAAATGTGCAGGAGGTGAAGGGTGCTGGGTGCTGGAGCCACAGGACTTAGCTCTGGCTTCCTAGCCGTGTAGCCTTTGGCAAATCTTTGACCTGAGTCTTTGTGTCCTCATGCTATGGGATAACAGGAATATCCGTCTTATAGGACTTCTATAAGGATTAACTGGCTTACATTAATGCCTACAAAGTACTTGGAAGAGTGTTTTCCACATAGTAAGTGCTCAGTTTGTTAACAACTATTATCAAAAGAAAAAACAGACTAACAATAGGTCCTGTATGATTTTTACGATTATACACTTACGTATACACAGAAAAAACTGTAAGACTATATAGCAAAATGTTCACATCACCTCCAGACAGTAAGCTTGCAGTTTCATTTTTTTGCTTATCTGTATTTTCTAAATTTTGTGCAACGAATATTTGTTTGTGATAAGAATAAGTTGTGAAAGTTTACATTTTAAACAAAACTAGCTCAAAAGCAAGTTCCTCCCCCCTCCAAAAAAAGATGTGAGATTCTAGCCCTATTCTGACCACTTCCTTGAAGCTATATCCTGCACAACACTTAGGCATCTTACTTGTTCTAAATTACTTTTGCCCCAATTAGTAGGTCAGTGCTAATGAAGGCAAAGCCATAGGTTCAAGGCTGGCCACCGTCCGTTTGCCTCATGACAGTGAGATTATCCTGAGACCTGCTAAATTAGTTAGTCCCAAAGGGACTGGGCATAAAATTAGGAAACTCTGACACGGAAACATCATCTTCACACAAATAAATGTCAGGATATGTGATGACCCAAGCTTGTGGGTAAATTGTTTTATATGTGTTCTCAGACGTTTCTCCTCTGAGGCATTTTTAATCTATTCAATTAGACAACATTTCTTTTGTGTCCTTCTACAGAGTTCTGTATATAATATACCTCTGCAGAGTCTCATCAACCTCACCCCTCCCTACAGCTCACCTCTTTTGTCAGCCACCTTCCCTCCCAAGTTCAGCCTAAGAACACCGCAGATTTCCCTCCCGTTTTAAAAAGAAACACCCACTTACCATATGATAATAATTACAATAGAGAGTTATCCAACCAAACATCCAAACCAAGTAAAAGGTAGAAAACACATTTAAAGACTCTCTTCTGAAACGTCCCTGACCTGTATAAGATCACCTTCACTGACATAACTCCCAGGTTCCTAAACTGGCTGATGGTAACATATACAGCTAGATAACCTCCTTGTCCGAAAACGGAGAAACCAGATTGGTTCATTTTTCCTTCAGATCATCCCGTGAGCTCTCGAAGGTTAGGGTCATTACTATTCATAATGATGGCAGCCCTCAGTGCTTATTAGGACTGTGCCTCAAATTCTTGGTACGAAATAAATCAAGATTACGATTAATTAGCCCTCATATTCATGAGCTATGGAAGGCTTAACCAATGACCTCAAATCTTAGCTTGGAAATTGAGCAGTTTTAAGCTTCCTTGAGTAATTGGAGCCCTGATGGTGTAGTGGTTAAGAGCTCAGCTGCTAATCAAAAGGCCGGCAGTTTGAATCCACTAGCTGCTCCTTGGAAACCCACGGGGGCAGTTCTACTCTGTCCTATAGGGTCGCAGTGAGTCAGAACTGACTCGACAGCAATGGCTTTATGGGTTTTGGAGTATTATTAAAAAACAAAAAACACTCCTTACCCTCATGGCTGCTGGAGAAATAGCCCCCTCTCAAGTAGGACTGGCAGTTAGGCACTTCTGAAAGGAAAACACAGACGGACACACCCTGGTCAGTAGTTCTGTGGTGGAATTCCTCACACGGTTTAACTGAAGCTCTGCAGTAAAGCCCTAACCCGTCTCCTGCTCCAGGATCATGTCTTCTCGGCCTTGTCCTGGGAAAGAGGCACCACCCAACAGGCAACAGTGGAAACACACTATGGCCTACATCTGAAACTAAGAACTCCAAATCAAGGGCCCGGGGAGGGAAAAAGGATGCCTCACTCTCATATCCCACTCACTGAGAAATTAGTTAACCACCATATCTGGTGAAAGAAGTAATGGGAGAAAGGAAATTGGTTTTCAAAAGACCAAGTCTGGCCTCCTGCCCACACTGACTCAGGAGCTCTGAGGTTGGTAGGGGGAGGAGGATTGCTCTAGATCTTTCTCAATCTGCTCTCCTCTACTGCTGATGGTCTCATCCAATTCTGCTCCAAGAGGTGAAGGTATTTTTAGACCAAAGAGATTAGGGAGTTTGAAGTTATGAAGCCAAGACAAGAACTGGCAGGGCTGGGGAATTTTTAGTTTGGCAAGTACATTTTTGCCATGTTGGGGCCGTTAAATTGAAACCAAATCACACTCAAGAGAGCTCTTCTTCAGGCATATTGTCAAGGTGTCCGTCAAGAGAAAAGACAATGAGTTGAGTTGTGCCCATATGGGCTGAGCCTTCACCCTGGGAAGGCCACTCAGATCCAAGAGTTACAGATAGATATATTTACATCTGCTGAGAGTCTTGTTTTAAGGGAGTGGGGTGGAGTGAGAGAAACCTGCCAGGACAGATGAAAATGCCAATCCCAAAAGAAAAATACTGCTAGCCACGCATGCTCCTGAGAAAAATACAGCAGAGCTGAAGGAAGAATGCCAGTGGAAAGTTTACAAGCTATTGATACCGGAACACTGGGTAATTTTTCTGCCATAATTGTCTCTCCTTCTGTTGACCTCCCCAGCCTTTCCTATATCAATTTCTGCCTGTTATCTCAGAGAAGGTCAAAAGCAAATTCTATACCCCATTCCATTCGTAACAGCCAGTTAAAGTACACACTGCCCGCCCTGCCCAGGATCTTCAAGAAAAGCACACAGGAAAAGGTCGAAAACCTACCAAACGCCCTCAAATCCCCTTAGCACCAACTGTGGGAAGAAAAAATGCAAGAGTGTATTTCTGAAAGGGGAAACGAGGAGGAAGAAACGGCTTCTAAATGTGCGAGCTGCAAAATTCCAACTCTCCTTTCCCCTACCGAGTGGTCTCATTTAATGTGGCTGGCTGGTGGCACAGTGGTTAAAGTGCTCGGCTACTAACCCAAAGGCCAGGGGTTTGAACCCATCAGCCGCTCCGCAGGAGAAAGATGTGACTGTCTGCTTCCATAAAGATTTACAGCCGTGGAAACCCTATGGAGCAGTTCCACTCTGTCCTGTAGGGTTGCCATGAGTCAGAATCAACTCGACGGCTGTGGGGTTTTTTTTTGGCCTATAAAGGATAGGTAGGCAGTGAATGGGGTAGGCGTTAGGGGTCATCCAAGTACAGTTAAACTTTGCGATACGCTTAATTAAGTTCCTAGACAAGAGGTATCCCATAACCAAGCAATAAATGCCCTAACATGTTATACCTCTCCCTGTGTATACCAGCAGCTGCCGATGAACACGGGAACTTTCCCAGTCAAAAGCATTGCAGTAGAGCAGTTATGCCATCAAGCAACCAAAAGGACAGCCCTTCCCAATGGTATACCCAGTACCCCATACTCGTTGCCGTTGAGTAGATTCCGACACACAGCGACCCTACAGGGCAGAGTAGAACTGCCCCATAGGGTTTCCAAGGAGCAGCTGGTGGATTTGAACTGTCGATCTTTTGGTTAACAGCCGAGCTCTTAACCACTGTGCCACCAGGACTCCCAGTATCCCATACAGCCGTGAATTACCAAGTGCTTTCCCAAAAGACCATTCATTTCAAGAAGAGAAGTCATCACGCCCTACGTGTGGACTCTCTTCCTCGTATTTGAGACTTTAGTGGGATTTGTTGTACTCAATAAGAAGGCCACAAAACTGGGGACAGGACTAAAAAGCTGAAATGATATGCCCCGTGTCCAGTGGCCCTAAGGTTATTAGACCTTACAAAGGGCACCACCAAGATTAGACCCCAGCAAGCTTCAGGCTTGGGCTCAGAGGTGTACCTTGTGCCACCACTGAATGCCTGCTGCACTCCCTACTATGTGTATGGCTCTTCTGCTGTGCTTTGTTCACTTATGCATAGTAAAACATGTCTGCTTTCCTATGTGATGGACTCTTTAAGAGACATTCTTAACAAACTATCCCCCAAAGCCCTGCACATGGAAAACACTCAATAAGGATCAGACAGATGAACGAGAGAATGAAGAAACGAATGGCTCGACTTTATGCTAACCTGAATCAACGCAGTAATCCCGGGGCTCCTGCTTGATTCCCACTGGTGACTGGAACCCGTGTGCTGGGGGGCCCGGCATGCCTGGGACCCCGTGTTCATAGAGCGGGTCGTGGTATTCCTGTTTGAATCCCTGAGGGGGCGGGGGAGCTGCAGGGACAATGGGTTCTGACATTTGCCGATGGTAACTGGGACGACTGTCTCCAGGAAGTCCTGACTGAGGGGGGAAGGGGTGGCAGGGTTCAGACAGTTGTCTCTGAAATCTGTAAGAAGAAAGAAGTTATATTGTTTAACAGGAATATGATGAACACCTACTGTGATTTAGCACTGGGGACTAGAAGTTCAGAGTAATGAAATTATTTGTAGAGTACTTATTCTTTTTTTTTTTTTTTGCAAAGTACTGAAGTACTTATTAACGCTTATTTCTGGACATTTTGTTCCCTCTTCCCAAAATTATAAAGCACATTTCAATCGTCTTAAGGGAGTGGTGAAAAAGCAATCAAAGCAGTGACATGGTGGCCTCTCACTTTCCATACATATTTATTTCATGCACGGCCGAGTTATATCGTTGGGCCAAGTTAAGTATCTGAATATATAACAATAATTAATTTCAAGCAGCACTAACATATACATATATGTCTGTTCACTAGCTCATTCATTCTCTCACCTGTAGATAGGATGAGTTTAAATATCAAAGAATATAATCAGTTAGAAAATGTAGTAAAAAAAAAAAAAAAAAGCCCATTCACAATAGCAATTAAAACCATAAAATCCTTGAGATTAATAAAAAAATGTGTAGCTATATAAGAATAAAATCTTATAACTGTTCTCTGTGGAACAGAAAGAAGATTGTAAAGAGAAAAACTGGACATCACAAATACTCAGGACGTTGAGATTGTTGATTCTCTGGAAACTATTCTGTAAAAGCAATGCCTTCCCAACCAATTTGACAAAATTATTCTAGATTTCATCTAAAAGATCAATTTCTGAAAAGAATTAATGACCTAAGAGACAGGTATTGACACATATTGTACAACTACAGTAACTAAAACAGTTAATACAAGAAATGAAAGCTAGATAGATCAAAGGAATTGAATGGAAAGGAAAAAATCGGTGAGTTCATTCCAACATTTAATATAAGGTTAGCCTTTCAAATCAGTGGGGGGAAGTGGCAGACCCCTTTTTTACATCACATGCCAAAATAAATTTCATATGGATTAAACATTTAAATGTAAAGAGCGAAACCATAATACTAATGTAAATATATCTGATAAATTACCTAACCACGCGTGAGGGAAACCCTTTCTAAGCATTAGGAGAACTAACAGCAGCAATCATTGAGACATAAATTAGACATTTCTGTTAGCCAAAAAAGGCCAGGAACAAAACCAAAAGAAAAGCGACAAGCAGGAGAAAAAAATCTGTTAACAGTCAAAAATACCTGAGACAAAACCAAAAGAAAACAAACCAAGGAAAACCCTCTGACAGGTATTTCCAGAGAATCAACGTGAGTATTGCTGACATAAAGAGCTCTTCCAAAATCGGTAAGAAATGAACCCAAACCAGCCAAACCCAACCCATGGCCGTCAAGTCGATTCCGACTCATAGCGACCCTGCGAGACAGAGTAGAACTGCCCCATAGGGTTTCCAAGGAGTGCCTGGTGGATTCGAACTGCAGACCTTTCGGTTTACAGCCCAGCTCTTAACCACTGTGCCGCCAGGGCTCCAAGAAATGAACATCCCAATAGAAAAAACAGGTAAGAGGCATAAACAGGGAAGTCACTAAAGAAGAAATACGAATGGTCATAAACAAATAAACAAAAAGTTCAGCTTCATTAAAAAAAAAAAAAAAACCCGTGGCCGTCAAGTCGATTCCGACTCATAGCGACCCTATAAGATGGAGTAGAACTGCCCTATAGAGTTTCCAAGGAACAGCTGGTGGATTCGAACTGCCGACCCTTTGGTTAGCAGCCATAGCACTGAACCACTAGGCCACCAGGGTTTCATTAGTAATCAACAAGTGCAAAATAAAGAGAGAAACATTTTTTCCTGATAACTTGGAGGATGAGCAGGCAGCTTATAATTCTGTGCTTGGCACATTGAAAACATTGAAATCATGGGTATGGTTAGATACAGCTACAAAGATGGTCACCAGCTCCAATGTGTAACAAGGGAACTGGATAAGTACACTGTGATATAGCCATTTTGTTGAAAGCAATCATTATATATAATGTGATATACTAATACATAAAGTGTTTCTGATATATTTTAAGAAAGGCAGGTTGCTAAACAGTACCTAGAACATCAAATTTTTGCAAAAAAAAAAAAAAGTATTTCAGGCATCATACAAAACCCTGGAAAGATTTATAAACCTCAATGTTAACAATACTTATCTTTGGTGGTTATGATTTTAGGTGATTATTCTTTTTTGCTCATTTACAGTTGAATAATGGATATGTATTATTTTTATAACAAGCCAGAACAAAGAAAGTTTTCTGTTATTGTTATTAATCAATCGAGTATCATTAATGTCCTTTAGCTGTAAGACATTCCAGCTGTGTGCCAGCCGCCCTTTCCTTGTTGGGCAGGCGGAGAGGTAGAAGGGAAAGCCTGAGACGCTAAGTGACACCACTCACTCACTGAATGACCCAGGCAAATTTGCTCGGCTTCAGTTTCCTCATCTGTCACACTGGGACATTATCTATTCTTCAGAATGCTAGTGGAGCGAGGAAAGATGAAATAAAATCACGTCTACAAGGCATAGTTTCTGCCACAGCTGGGATGTTCTGCAGATAAAGACTAATTCTCCACAGACTGTGTGGTAGGCTCTAGAAGGGTGGGTATGCAGGTTAGAGATCAGTGACCCCTCAAGACCGTAAGGCCTGAATCCATGAATGACTTGAGTGCCCACTATGCATCAGGCACTAATCTATGTGCATAAAGCAAAGCATTTGTGAACATATACCTCCAGGTAGAAAGCTGAAGCCAGGAAAAAAAAGGATTTAGAACAACTAACTTCAATGAGTTATTTTTTAATCAACAATATAATCCTGTAATACTACAGCCTTACTCTCTACTTTTAGCGTGGATCCTATTAATAGTTTTTAATCAAACGATGTGAATTTGATTAGAATCAATCTGTGGCAACAGGTGGCCAACAGATCTCTAGAACATCAAGATTTAAAATCTTAAACTGAAGAGATTTTACGCGCAGATAAAACAGTTTCGGTCAGGGCGTAGCATATTCTGTGAGTGTCTTTATCTCCAAAAGCAGCAGAGTAAGATAATTTTATAACTGAACAATTTTACACATACTCATCCTTTTACATCAGGCAACAAGAGTCTCAGAATCTACCTAGTCAATGTCTTAAACAAGTTTTACAAACTATAGGAGCTTCATTAAGTTGAGAGTTTTGCACTACAGTTTAACTTCAGCAGGAATGCGACGTTCAAGGTTGCTGTTACTTAACGAAATTTTTCAGTGGTCTTTGAGGAAGGGTAAATTTGACATTCAGGCTTCGCCTGATGTTTACAGTATGAGTACCGGAACCCACCAGCTACTTCATGGGAGAAAGATGCGGCCGTCTGCTCCTGTAAAGATTACAGCCTTGGAAATCCTATGGACAGTTCTACTCTGTCGTATAGGGTTGCTATGCTTTGGAATTGATTTGACGGCAAGGAGTTTGGGTTTTTATAAGCTGCAAAACTGAAGAGAATTCTGAAGCCGTGGGCAGAAAAGGCAAAGATATTCTTAAGGCTTTATGTTTACAAAGTGCCCAAAACTTATGCTACTTGGAAAGAACGGTCACAAGGGGAGACATCCTCCATTTTCCCTCCCCCACCCCCTCTGCCGCCATCTTGGCAGGTCAAAAGTGACCTCCATAGCTCCTTTGATGACTCTGAGATAGATGGTCTGTACCGCTTAGCTGTGTAACCAGAACCTCCGCAGCTGGCAGGCCCATCACTCCTCTTCCGCTCCGTGCTCATCTCACCTTCCAGAGTGAAACTCTAGAGTCGGCCTGGTACGGCCCCTTCAGGAAAAGGTACTCTCATATGGGCACCAGCCAGCACCCTCCATTCCCTCCCTCAAGCATAACTTGAACGATGCCTGAAGTTTAGAGTTCTGTGATCCGCAGGAAAGATCCTATAATTGGGATTGTTCAGTACTGGTTGTTTTTGAGGGAGTGGGATGGCAAAGGGGATCTTAGGGATACCAACCCAACCCAAACCAAATCCACTGCCATCGAGTCCACTCCGACTTATGGTGACCCAGTAAGACAGAGCAGATCTGCCCCAAGACTGTAAATCTTTACGGAAGCAGGCTGCCACATCTTTCTCCTGTGGAGTGACTGGTGGGTTCAAACTGCTGACCTTTTGGTTAGCAGCTGAGCACTTAACCACTGCACCACCAGAGCTCCTTTGATCTTAGGCGCAGGTCGTAAAATCAACATATTTGGAAGAAAGATTTTCTCAGCGCTCAGTGCTGATGATGGCTTTATTTGCAGAGATTAGTAAAGTAATGCCAGTTCTTGTTGTCCTCAAAATACATTCCATGAACTTTACTCACTGACCTTCATTTGAACCCCCTTCCCCTCTCCACAATCCTTTTGAAGTGTCTAAGAATGTGTTGTATATATAATACAGCTATGACAAAGATGCCTCTTATTTACTGAGGCAGGCAATCATTTTCAACGGGACAGCAGCTCAGCTTCTACAAACTTCTTCCTCTCTCTAAGCCCCGTCCCTTTTTTCCACCCCCACCAATTATCCCCACAGAGTTCATGCCATAATGGTGAGCAAAAGGAGACTTCTGACTACTGATGATGCCTAAATTCAGTAGGTTACAGATTAAGGCTTCTTCAGTGCTGGTTTATTTAAAGAACCAGCTATTTATTTATTTGTCATATTTATATAGTGCCTTTCCTCCAAACAGCTCACCCACGCTACCAACATTTGGTTTACGTTATGAAAGCCGTTAGATGCTTTTCCTGCATTTCCTTTTCGGTTCCTGCTGCCAAGACACAGAGTAAACACCACACTTACAGGAGAAAAGTGTGGATCTGATGAAAGCTACGCAGTGGCCATGGGTGCCAGGTGAAAAAATGACGGTTCAGAGGCCAGCTAGAACATAAAACCCACACCATGCTCATAGTATTTCTGGGAAGGCTAAGAAGAAGATGGAAATAGAGAAAAGCACAGCTGAATAAGAGGCCCTGGCTATGGACTCACAATATCCTCGGCTGAAACCCAACCTTGACTATTT